AGAGAGAGAGAGAGAGAGAGAGAGCCCTGCATAAGCAATTTAATGACACCATCTAATTTTTAAAAAAATATATTTGGTTGTTGCAGGGTCTCATTATGCAGCTCTGACTTGTGGTGATCCTCCTGCTTTCAACCTCCCCAGTGCTAGGATTATAGGCATGTGCCACTAAACCTGGACTCTGGCCTACTCAACCTGCCCCGGGGGTGGGGCTGGTGTGGCATGTGGTGCCGGGGATTGAATCTTGGTCCCTGAGCTTGCCTAAGCTTGCCTAAGCAGGCGCTTTAGTCTGTTGAGCTATCTTGCTGGCCTGAAAAAATTTGTTTTGTAAAAAATGTTTTAAAGAACTGGAGAGGTAGATTGAGAGAAGGCTCTAGGTTCAATCCTCAGCAGCACAGAAAGAAAGAGAGAAAGGGAAGGAAGGAAGGAAAGGAGGGAGGGAGGGAGGGAGGGAGGGAGGATCATTGAATGTGGGTTTTTTTGTTGTTGTTGTTGTTACTGTTGTTATTTTTGGTAATTGTTTTGGTTGTTTTGTTTGTGACAGGGTCTCGCTATGCAGTTCAGGCTGGTCCTGAACTCACTCTGTAGCAAAGGCTGGCCTTAAACTCAAAACAATCCTCCTGCCTCAGCCTCCTTAGCACTGGGACTATAGGGCTTGCACCACTGTGCCCTGATGGATGTGTGTGTGTGTGTGTGGCTTTTTTTCCCTTCTAGTTCCCAAGTTGTCCCATGCTGTAACATGTATCAGTTTGTTAAGGTTGTCATAACAAAGGGCCAAGGGCTGCTTAAGCACAATTCCCTTGCAGATATAGAAACCATAAATCTAAGAGCATGTATTGGCATTCTTGTTTTGGTTTGGTTTGGCAATACTGGGAATCAAGCCTAGTGGCACTGTACCATTGAGCTCCATCTCTAGCCCTTTTTCATGTTTTATTTTGTGACAGCATCTCATTAAATTGCCCAAGAAAGACTCAAATTTGTCATCGTCCTGCCTCAGCCTCCCTCCATGCTGGAATGACAGGGGTGCACTACAACACCCCAGGGCTGGACTTGTTTCTAAAGCCTCTCGCTGGCTTGTAAATGGTCATCTTCAGTCTTTCTTGCCTCTGCATGGATGTCTGTGTACCACGCCATCTTTTTACATGGGCATCATTTACGTCAGAGGGAGCACACACATATGACTTG